GGAAGGAAGTTTTCCCTTGGATCATTTTCAACCTACAGAGAACATGACCCAGGATTCCTCAGATAATACTACACTTTCTACAATTCTCTCTCATATAGTTTGACTTCCTACCCTCATAAGACTGGAGGGAAATGGGGTAGAGAAGAGACCATAAGAGGTTATAAAAGCTGGCCTTCTTTCCAACCTTCAGTTCTAAGGTTAGACATTTCTACCTATCATCCTTTCTCTGGTGCTCATTCATCATTTAGCTTCGAGTGGTCATCACACTGACCAGTCTCCTTAGTTGTCAATTCCTTAACACTAACCTGTTTTTTGTCCTCATGAAAATCTAAAATCATTCAACTCCCTTCCACATCACTCAGACCATTGGTTCACAGGAAACTGCCTTAGTGGACTCTTTTTGGCCACAAGATTAGGTATTTCAATGTGGCCTTCTTGAATATCTCTATGTCCTTGTATTCTTCACCTTCTAACCAAACTCTCAATATTTACCTTTTTCCACTAATGCTTTGTGCTAAACCAGAGGACCACACAAAACCATACATACTTGAACTCTAAAAATCTTTAAGCTGACTCTTATCTTTACACAGCAGTTCTTTCATTTATTTCCAAGGCACTTTGGGGCTTTTTCTTACAGATTCTATTTTTAATCTCCTTTTTTAACAGGCTACCAGCTCCATTCTTTCATCCCCATTTTCGAACGATAATGCATTCTAGTAATTACTAATATGAGCCCCTTCATCTATTCTCATTTTCTCTAATCTTGCTTTCTCTTTCCCTGATCTTCTCATTGCTCTCACAAATCACCAAGGAAGGTATGGCCCACCTCTCTCTCTCCTTTTTTAAATAACACACGGTTGGGTTTTTTATTTTATTTTTTAGAGGCGAGGTCTTGCTATGTTGCCCAGGCTGGTACTGATCCTCCTGCGTCAGCCTCCTGAGTAGCTGGGATTACAAGCGCAAGCCACGGTGCAGTGCCCGGTGGTCCACCTCTCTTAAAGCTAAACCACAACCTTATCCCAGGAGACTATCTCCTCCCACCACCTGAAGACACCTGCCATCCTACTGAATTAGCCTATCTTCTTTAAAACACTTTTGATCCCTTCCTCTTAATTGGCTGTATAGTTTGTGTGTAAATACTTAGGTCTCTCCTTTATAGTAAAGCAGCGCCTTCAAAGACCTAGCACCCATCTAGTCGGCATCTTGTTTTTCTTTTCACCTGTTGTCAAATGTCTTAACTAAGTAGTCAATGACTGCTGCATCCATATCCCTGACATTTCCTCATTAATTCTAAAAATCTGGCTTCCATTCTGCACCTTTCTATGAAAGCTGCATTTTTAAAGATCACCAGAGACCTACCCAAACCTAAAGACCTTTTCTCAAATCTCATGCTTCTAATTTCTAATTCATAATTTCTTTTCCATTCCAACTGTTACTGTTCTTATTTGTACTGGACAGCAATGGCATACTGGAATTGCTTTCTAACTGGTCCCAATAGTGCGATCAAATCTATTAGCAAATTACTCTTTTTAAAATGCTACAATCAAGTTACAGCTTTACCGAAGAATCTACAGTTCTCTACCACTTGACCATATCCACATCAAGACTAAACTCTGCTTCCTAGTTTTCAAGGCTTTAAGCACATTTATCCCAGCTTACCTGTACCCACATACCTCAGTCGAGTCCTTACTGTCCTTCCCTTCCAACACCTATAGATCATGTTAATTTCTCCCTCTGGTCCTAGGTTCAATCTGCATCCTTTACAGTGCTTTCTCCTGCCTTCATCTAAATTTAAGCCATCTTTCAAAGTCAAAAAGTCCCACATTCTTTTTATGAAGCTTCTCCCTGTACCAGCTCACAATAACTTCTTTCTCTAATTCCTACCTTTATTTTTATATCAGCACAGTGTCTGATTTGTTCACTAAACATTTCATGTGTGAATACTTGCGTGTATTACTGCTATTTATCTAGCACAAGGAGGCACACATTAGGTACTCATTCAGATACAGACAGTACTAAGGGTAGAAGGACTAGCTTGACACCAGATAATTTGGCCAATTTTGCAGAATAAAGACATATATGATTGTTTGGGGTTATCATTTCTTTATAAGATAATTAAAAAGAAAAAGTTACTGTATTTTCAATTGTATGATAGCCAACTCTCAAAGCCAATTAAGCAGAATTTGGTAAGACTTTGTGATCAAACAACCCAAAAAATCCAAAACCTTACAACTCAACACAGCATAAAACGTCCTCCAGTTTATATATATCTACACCTCTCTCTATATATACATATAGATATATATGTGCATATATAACTTGGTGGTCTTCATTTTGCATGATTTCAATACACCTGCAATTTGTTCCTTTCTCTCGGCTTTCTCAGGCAATGTCTCTGTGGGAGTACCTCTCTAAGGACCCAGGTCACAGCAGAAGAGAGCTCTGGCAGTTGTCAAGGTGCTTGGAATACCATACAAATAGGAGGAGCCATATCAGTAGAAATGTGCACAGACAACACGCATTAAAGCTGTTTTCTTTAAAGGAACACATATAGAAGGCTCTACTTAATTCACAGGGAGGTAAGTAAAGGGTAAGAGACATGATATACCCACATAAATTAGAATAATGAATGTATGTCTTTCCTATGAAGATTTTTTCACCTCCCTCCAAATACAAATAAGTACTCAATACTCTTTGTTGCCACTGTCAGAGCAGTTACTGATAGGAGCCTGGACCGTTATGGTAGTTCTTGTGATTAAAGTGTATCAAGATACTCTGGTTTCTCTTCAGATTGTATAAAGTATATCAAGAGCTGACCTGATAGAAATAATGTGAAACAAAACTGTCATTAGGCTGTTATCCTTGGTGATAGGGCCTGTATTTTATTCAACCTTGTATCCCTTAAGACCTAGCTCAAGTCACTACACAGAATAGGTACTCAAATATCTCATTAATGCTTTGTTGAAAGAAGGGGAGACTACACAAAAGCTGGAAAAACAAAATGCAACAGTAGAATGAAAAGGAAAGCATTATTAATCAGAAAATATTTTCTAATGAAATCTTTGAGAAAATAAAGAGGCACTTCACATTCATCACAGAACTAAAATCATCCAGTGCAGGACTCTATTTCATACAGTGGCACTAAAAACATTGCAAGGCAGCAGTTTTTAACTTTTTTTCTAGAAGGGGAAGGGGTGTCATCAAATCTTTCATAAATCTATTAAAAATGGACATATGTAACAGCCAAAAAAAGGACATGCAGACAAACTCACAATTTTGCATGTACTTTGAGAGTTCTGAACTCCAAGTTAAAAATTCCTGGGTTAAGGAAAAGACTAGTCACTTTATTAAGATTAAGGACTTAAAAATGTATAAAGTTTCCCTTGTGCATGATGGATCATGCAGAAATGTATCAAAAACAAACTTGAAGCTTTTTAAGAATTTCTCATTCTTTGCCATCATTTTGGATTCACTTTGCTTGTTATGTGAAGTGGTGCTTTCTTTTATGTGTTCTGTCATTTCTTCTGTGCTTTAGTGTAAAATTAATTATGACTATGATTTTTAAGACTTTTTAAAAAAAATGGTATTAAATAAAATATTAAGTAAACAAAAGGTGAGGTCTACAAGGTCGAAGAATTATAAATTGAGTTAAAAGATTATCTTTAGCCATTTTATATAAAAATTTAGAAGATGAAATCTAATTGCCCAAGAAGCATTTTCTTCATTCATGGTGTGCCTGGAAATGGAGGCAGGGAGGAGAAGCAGGCAGGGAGACAGTTTTGGGATTCTATTCAGGGATCTGGCAAGTCTGGGCAAACTACCTGACAGTTTTTCTGCACTGGCTATGAACGAGAAAGGAAAGGAAAAACTATAAGGAAAAAAGCCTTACTTAACAGGTGTATCTCTCAATACCAAAAAGTTTGTAAAATGGGAGCTATCCACCTGCTATGTCTTTGTAAGGAGATCCAGACAACGAAACGCTTACATTGGAGGCTGGAGAGAGCTATGAGCTAGTAAGCATCATTATAAGGAGGCAGAGTTTCTTAATAAAGCCCAGGAGCCTTAGCCCCACAGGAGACATAAGTGAAGTCTTTGCCTCTTATAGCAAAAATGAAAACCATAATTAAATTAGGATATAATAAAAGGCTAATGTTTAATCAGTCTACAATATTTTATTTGTATTTTCTAAACTGGCAATTTTCTTGTAATGTCTTAAAATCACTTCTAAATACAAAGTAGAGACTAATATTTATGCTGAATTTTACAAAAATCACTTAAATGGCTAAACAGAGGCTTCTGTACCCTGTTAATCAAATCTAAGGGTACCTAAGAATAGATTTTAGTTTACCCCAATATACCTTGGAATAAAGCCATTTAATTTTTGCATTATATCTAATAGAAAGTAACCAGATTCCACATAAAGAGGTAACCTTGAAAATTCTAACCCCAACACAACATTAAGTATCATCTCCTAATAACATACTTTTTTATTATTATCTTAAGCCCTAGGCTTCTTTTTTAGTATTCACATTACCCCTTTCATACCTTTTAACAAATTAAGGCATACCTTTTATCACAATTGTTTTTTAAAATCTCAAGAGGAGGTGTGACTTTCCCCTTCTTCCCAGTTGCTTCATTTAGGCAGAATATGGTCATGTTTTCTGAATCAGCTTTTGTCCACTGGTCAGAACTGAGTTCAGTTTCTTTATTATCAGTTTTAAAACTATTTCAAGAAATTCTGTATTATCAAAAACATCACTTCACATTATATCCTAATAAGTATTCTATCATTCTCTTGATTAACTAAGGTTATCTATTACAACTTAGGTGGCCTAATTTTAGAGGACACCACTCTCTTCTCTTCTGCCTTAGTCTCATTCTGGTCAGGTACTTAAAATATTGTCTTATCATCACATTTTCATTATTAAGCAATGAAATTTCCAAACAGATATCCCAAAGAATTACTGTGTGTTCAATAGAAATGTTAAACACTGCTACGGTTGCTTCTCACATACAATGTTTACCCTATATTCAAGTTTCTGATAAGTCAACTATAAGTTGAAATTCTGTTTTTGAGGCATTTCCTGGTATACTAGGCAGTGCATTAGAAAAGAGATTATATTGCATTTAAGCTATAATATAATAATTATCTTTAAACCATCTATGTATAATTAACAACCATTCAAAAGAAAGTGCAAATGTGCAAATGAGAGAGAACAAAACAATTTCTACAGATGATAATGCATAATATAAGATATAAATCTAGACAACTAGAAACAATTGCTGACAACATCCTTTTGAACATTAAATGACACCACCAATTTTATATGTATTCTTTCTTAAGTATTCAAAGAATGCAATAGACATTATCTTCTTAATTTTCAAATTTTTCAGGAGTAGATTAGGATATTACCATTTTTTCACATATCAGAAAACAAGGAACTACGATTACCTTTGTATATTTTCAATAATAGAGCCAAAATAAGAACAGTTCTAGCTAATCTCATCTGGGATCTTAATTAGTACTACAAGTTTATTTGTATGAGTTCAAAATAGTATCACTCATGAGAAACAATGCCAAAATTATTATACTAATAAATTATGTTAAAGGCCTAATGAAGAAACACTTCAGCAACTATGAGGTAACACGCTAGCTGTAGGCATGAGGAACGTTTATATTGGCTCTTTTGGGTGTATACATTAAAAGCAAAATCAGAAAGGAATCATGCAAAAATCCGGTTGCCCATGCAAGCACCCCAGAGTCTAATCCTCTCCTCTCAGTTCTGTTGTCAGGCCACAGTAGTGTGGAGACTTGTAGGCTGCTGTCCTTGTTGTAATGAATGGGAAGAGGCTGACAGTGGCATGGTCGAAACCTTCACCTCTTCTTCCCCTGTGGAAAAGTCAGTCATGGTCTAGTTATGGGTGACTAGATTTGTTAACAGTCCCTTTAAAAATGATCTCAATATTTGGAATACTGATACATATATAAAATACATGCTTAATGTATGGAATCTGGGTGTGAAACAAGACATGAATTTTAAAATATAAGTTTATCAAGTACCTAGAAAGTAGTTATACTCTAAACACACCCTTAATTTTGTCAAAGATAAGAACAAATATAATAGATTTAGATTATAAGTATACTACAAAAGAAAAAAAAAAAGACCAGGAAAGCCATTCTTTTCCAAGCCAATTGGACCCCTTATAAATATAGATTGTCCTAAGGGTAAATAATATTTTGTGAAAAAATTAAAACTTGATTTACAGAACTAAACAACTGAGTCTTAAAAAGAGGAAAATTATAAATCTGTGTTTTCAAAGTAGTATTAAAAAACACGAAATAACAGATACAAATATTAACAGCAAAAAATTAACTTTAGTAAATTAACATATAGCTAATCTGAAAATTCAGTGTGAACTTTTGAAGTAAATGGAAAATAGTAAAATGCTAACAATATAATGATCCAATTGACTGAAAGTGAGATGACTACTTCTAGGTCAGAGAACTACACAGGAATGATATCAGTTCTCCTAATTATAATTGATTATTATTTGACTACAAGTGACTTGTTTCACACGTGACTCAAAATTCAATCAAGTCACTGATAAAATAATACAGAAACAAAGACAATTTAAAGAAAAATGCCCTCTCATAAATAAAATCTTAATTAATAAAAACATGAAAAAATCCAATCCTAAACAGTTTCAAATATTTTTTGAGGTATCTTGAAACAACAATGCTTACAGACTTAGACCTACTATTATTTGTTTTCCAAATAATTTTTATAATTATGGAATAAAAACAACTTGGCAAAAAGTTCTCTGAAAAACAAATCTGCAAAATTACATTTGAAAAGATAACTGACAAAGTGTAGAAAAGGAGTCTTTCAATCCATAGAACAGATTATTTCGTAGTTTTTCAGCAAATTGCCAAAGATGCTTATAAACCCCAAGTACATAGCAATGAGACTGTGAAGCAAGTTTTAGCCTAGAGTTCTTGGTGAGAACATGATTCTAACGAAGACTAAGCAAGAGACTGAAGTCAATAAACTTCATTCTATTTTGTAACTACAGGCCACATATCTCTGAGCTGGGCCAATTTGTCTCATGAATAGATACCATTTATAAAAAGGGACTTGCAAGTGTGTGAGAGCAAAATCAATTACCACGGGAAGAAAGCCAAGTTAAAACACATGCCAGTGATCTTCATTTATGAGGGAGAGTATCACTGTTGTAGTGCAAAAACTTTTCCATTATTGAATTCAAGATCTGGATTCTTATTCTAATTCCACTACTAATTGAATATGTGACCTTTAACAAATTATGTAAGCTTTCTGGAACACAGCTTTGCCATTCCTAAAATGAAGGAATTGCATAAGTTCCTTTTTAGGGAAAGGTATGTCACTTTTCATAACAAAGGTGTATGGTTCCAATAATAAAGAATGGACGGACTTACTATAACTGCCCACTAATCAAATTTTCCCCCAAGAATATTTATTTGAAAAATTCTTCTAAACTTAGCAAACCAAATGTGAAGCCCAAAAAATGCTGCTAAGAAGATTTCACCTAATTAAGGAAATAACTAATTTTAAACACAAAAATGTTTTCAATCAAACAAAAGAAATGGAAGCTGCATTTCTATCAAACCTCTGGCAATTGTTCTTCCCATGACAGGTTTCAGATATATCAATCTTTAATAATTAACTGAAACAAACCAAAAATAAAAATTTAAGTACAAATATATAATAAATGAACGCTGTAACTGTATGATACGTAAGTGACTGCCACCTCTGATTTGCTCCTACAGGCCAGGAACCCTATTTTACTCTACATATCTAAAGAATAAAAATACATGCCTTTCAGAGGGTAGTATTAGTTTAAAAGTAGCAGGTCTCACTGAAACAAGCATTTAATGAACAGGTATCCTGTAGAAGGTACCAGAATAACTGCTGGAGGGTACAAAGTTGAACCCCTTTCAATAGCTCAACTCAAGTATAACTAAGTTACCACTTTAGTGTAGGCAGATATTACCTAGGTATTAAGTTGCTTCAAATTAGACACATTAAGATGCATATAGTTTTCCAGATTTTTACTTTCTGTCATTTCTAATAGTTACTGAAAATCCTCAATTATGGCTACAGTTATACAACTATTCTGCCCTGAGGTTTGGCACATTCAGTTTCCTGAGGTACATGCCAAATATTTATAAGTCATGAGAGGATTCTGGTGTGACTCTTGATAACAATTTTAAATATTTTGGTACATCAAAACTAAAATTTCTCTAGTCACCAGAGCCTTAAAAATAATCTAATCATAAGCTTAACCCAAAGTCACCATTTAAACACCAAACAAGTCTGCATAGATAAAAACTGAAAATACGAAGTAAACTCTCCCCATTCCCCACTAAATACAACGATTTAGAACCTAAAGCTGGTGACTTAATTTTTAGCATTTCTGGAAAAAAAGTTTTTAATGCTCTATGGTTGAGTATACGGTAAAATTAAAAACAAAACAAAACCCACAAAGATAGGGACATATTTAATGTGTTTTTTTTCATAAAGTATCTACTTTAGATGAAGGTTTCAAATAACTAATGTGAGGACAACCACACGCACAAATCAGAGATTTCTCATTACTGGTGTGGCATTTCCAGAATATCTACTGGCTTGAAATATTTGGGTTAAAACTGCTCTTCAGTGCTAAGGGACAAGAGACTATGAAATTGGAAGAAGAGATAATTTATCAAAGATGGTCATATAGTAAGTCAAATAAAAGTACAAAATGAAGACAACTAAGAACTAGAGTCCCACGAAGGCATCCTACTTCCTATCACACCAAGTCCACGCTGTCTTGCCTCGTTGTCAGAGCTCCTCATCTTCTTATCCATTTATATCTATACAATTTAAGAAGCACCTCCTGTTACAGAAGGCAGCTGTATTGCTTCTTAATGTAACAGCATACTAATTCTTGCCTCTAGCCTTTATTCAGGAGGTTTCCATCAACATAAAAGGCCTTTCTCTTCCCCTGATGCTAATTCAAATCCAAGATACCATGGTACAGATCAATTCCTACTTCTTCTATGAAGCCTCCCCAACAATGATAGGCTACATTGATGTCTCTCAGATTCCAGTACCACACAAATAGTTACCACTTTCATATATGATTTTAATTTTATCTCAACTATAAAGTACCTGAAAATAGTACCCATATTGTATACTTCTTTTGTATTCCCCACATGGCCTAGTTCATTGTAGGGCAAATAGGAACCCAAGTACTCACTGTAATTGGTTTAATACTTTATTTCTGGGAACTTAACTTTAACTTTTAATGTTATAATCAGTTATGAGATACACTACAAGTTATTAAAATGCCACATTTCTAAATGATTAAAACAAAGCAAAACAGAATTACATTCTAATATGCTATCTTGAATGGAAGAAAAAAAAAGGACTAAGAACTGAACACATTGTTTCACAAGTGAATAACATGTAGATGAGAGGACTGAAAAATGTCACTCTGGATTACCTACCAACTACTATAATTAAATGAACAAATATCGTATCATCAATGTGCAAATCACTACATTAGGCACTAACAAGCTTATGTAAATCATCTTCAGTGTAACAACTGTTAACTTCACTATGTCAATAGCTACAAACTATACTCTCTTAACCTAGCTACTTGGCTCCAACATGAAATGTTAGTCCGAAGGGGAATAGAGGCTAAGAATTTTGATGGATCTTTCGAAACTCATCTATCAACTTTGCTAAAAACAAGAGAATGAACATCTTGTTGGTAATAACACACTATTACAATAACACTGTGCCATGCCATACCTTAAAGATCATGACAGGGATAAAAATAGATTATATGAGTTATGCAAGGAACTATTCTAACAGAGTGAGGAACTATTCTGTTCTCCTTGAGAGAATCAGGAGAGGAATAAACTTGTTTCTTTCCACATCATTTCTAAAGCCCAAATTAAATGAGAATACTATTAACTATATCCCTTAGATATAAAAGATACTTCATCTAAAAAATATTATACAGAATATTAAAACCCAAAAGTTCTGAAACCTTCAAGGGTAGCAGTACAAAACCAGAAGTATTCATGTTCTGGCATCAAATTTATATTACCTTATATATACCTAATATTTTTCCCCAGAAATAAAAACATGACAAATGGGAAAATATCTTTCCTTGAATAATTTCTGTTTCACAAAAGGTATATGTCTGTAACATATGATATGTTCATATGAAACATTAATAACCAGAGTTCTCAAATATTAATATATAGCACAGTTTTAATGTGTGTGTATGTGTGTTTCAGTCAAAATAAGTAACTGCCAAAAGTAGTTAGAGAGTGGCTTTATCCCTCATGCTCTCATTAATTATCAATAAAAAAAATTTTTTTTAACCACTTTACTTTTAGAATGTAAAATCAGAATTTCTACCATGGTGTTGGACTTAATAGCACCATAATTTCAAAGACCATTTTTTTCTTTTTGCATTTATATACCATATGAAAGTTTGGTAACTATCCTATTAAGTAAAATGCTTCCAAACAATTACTAGGTATAATACTCCACCATCCTTATAAAGCTCAATATTACAAGGCATTCACCCAATTACGTATTTCTTAGATTACGATATAGACTTTGAAATTTCCAAGACTAATAATAAGTAATCTTTGTTATTCAATAGTTCCCTCCCTACCCACCCAACAACCTGAAAGCATGAGTTATTCACAAATTCTCAAAGGCTTTAAATGAACCTACCTGCTATAGGGATCCCTCCCAGACCTGTGTTGTGCTGTGGCGGGAGATTCAAGTCCAAGAAATTACTATTTGAGGTGGGGTTTGCTGTGTGGTTCAAGTGCATGATGCTATTGCGTGGAAAGGCCATCCAAGGATAGCGGGCTGCCTGGCCTGGAAAACTGAATGAATTATAAACCGCTCGGTGCTGCTGAAATTGAGGGAACCTCTGTGGCAAGACTGAAAAGGTACTATTGAGAGAGTTGGCATTTGTAGGTGCAGCAGGATGCAGGAATCCAGAGCCTGGACCTTTGGCGGTTGTAGTGTGTGAAGAGGAGTTCTGAAGAGATGTGGGCGAAAGGGAAGGTTGGTCTTGGACGGACAGTTCCTTCTCAATCAGGTCTGCTAAGGCTTTTCGAGTGACATCAAAGGGATCAAAACCCAAGTCATCCTCTGGTTGTTTAGAAGAACCAAAGCCAAATGCTGCTTGCCAGTCTGTAGAGGACGATACTGGGATTGTTTCTGTTGGGAAGAAAAATAGTGATGAATATCAAATACATAGTTCACTTTCAAACTTAATGAGTATCCACACTAGTGAAAGTTAAACATGTTATATTACAGGATAAAATCAAGTGTGCGCAAAATCTGTATGACTTCTTAACACATTAAGATCACATAATTACAAAAGGCTTTATATACTTCTAGCAGTGATTTCATTCTTAAGTTACTAACTTCAAAAATTGAATGATACAGACTGATTTTGCCCATCAAGGAGAAAAATGTATTTGACACCCAAATTATATTCCCAACCATTCATAATCAAACTAGCATAAATCATTTAAATGAAATAAATAATCTAACAGATTTTAATTAGTAAAGTTTATTTTTAAAAATGTACTTCTCAAAGTATAATTTTGAATATATGCTACATATACCACTAAGAATATAATTTAATAAAGTATCTATATAAATCCTTATAGTTTTTGTTACTTTTATGCTATATTTCATATTAATAAGAGAATTTAGAATGAATATAAATGGAAATGGCTCAAAAATGCCAAAACATAGCTGTTACTACTAAATAAATTACCTCTTTGTCAGTTGAAAGGAAAAAAAAATCTTAAACTATACAAATACAAATCTTATTAAAAATGTAAGTCCCCAATAATTCCCAGAAGAATAGGTTTTTATTACTGGGAAGTAAATTACCCTTGATTTCTGGAGAAATCTTTTAACACATTAATTTCTAGGTCATATAACAATTTATCTAACCATCTAATTCCATGCGGTTTGAATGTTTATATTTTTATAAAAACAGAGTGGAGAGAAAAAGCATAAAAATATATTTACCAATGGGTTTCATTTCATGTCAGTCTTGTCAGTCTATCAACAGTATCTTAAGATTAATACTCAACAGTATTATCATATACCTGATGTGAAGAGGCTCTGTGGTTCTGGTGCTGTAGGCCAGTCACTGGAAGTCTGTGGGGAGCTGGGGAAAGGAGGAAGCCCGCTTGGGATAGGGTTGGGATGGCGAAAATTGTCTGAGAATAACGACTGTGACTCTGTTACTGCCCCTTCAAAAGGAGACCGTGCACTGTGATTGGATGAACTGATGGGGATGACTGGATTGGATTTTGATAAACCAGGTGGTGGTGAGGGCGTATCACTGTTAGATATCTGAATCAAAAAGGAAAAAAAAAATCAATACATGTTTATACATTTTAACAAACCACAATTTAAAAGGTCTGCAACTAAATGGATCAGAATAGTGGTTGTCTTCAAAACAGGGTACTTGAAGACTTTTTAATGAAAGCATGGAGTTTCAGAAAATCAATTAAATCATTAACTTACATATGTACTCTTTTTAGAAATTACCCAGCTGAAAAAAGTAAACAAGTCTCCTCTCCTTTTTTACAAAGAAAAGAATTATTTCTCATTCTGTGAGATTTCACTATAGTATTTTGCTCAAGAATGAAAACTTTCTAGGGACCAAACACAAATTATTAGAAATATTTTATATTGGTGATAAGAGAGTAACTGACTCTAATGACTAGACTGTTTTGTAAACTAAGTGATTCCCAATATTTTAGTTTTCAACAAAATTGAAGGAAGAGATTAAGCTGTTACAAGACACATCCTTAAAAAATAATTTTATAAGAAGTCTTGGCCTAGTGCAGTGGTTCATGCCTGTAATCCTAGCACCCTGGGAGGACAAGGTGGGAGGACTGCTTGAGCTCAGGAATTTGAGACCAGCCTGAGCAAGAATGAGATCCTATCTCTACTAAAAATAGAAAAATTAGCTAGCCATTGAGGCACATGCCTGTAGTCCTAGCTACTCAGGAGGATGAGGCAGGAGGATCACTTGAGCCCAGGAGTTTGAGGTTGCGGTAAGCTATGATGACACCACTGCACCCAGGGCAACAGAGTGAGACTCTGTCTAAAAAAAAAAAAAAAAAAAAGTCTTTATATATGATTCTTAGGTATTTAATACAGAAAGAATTCAAAGATTTGAGCGATACTGATATAACACTCCTCCTTCTTGCATCTACTTATTTATATGAACAACATGTCTCAATACTTACATCATAAAAAAATGAAAAATATGGCTAGGACTGCTGATGAAACTTGTCTCATTTTACCACTATGTAATATTCACCTAGGGATATATAAAAACTACTTTTAAAATTGCCCTATCTCTCTCA